AAGTCTCTACTCTCTCTCTCTCTCTCTCTCTCTCTCTCTCTCTCTCTCTCTCTCTCTCTCTCTCTCTCTCTCTCTCTCTCTCTCTTGCCTCTGCAGCTAGCGCTACACCTAGCACTCTGCCTGGAGCTGCGCTAAACCAAAAATAGCGCAGCGCTGCTGCTCCTGAATGCCGCGTCTCCAAGTCTGTCCCAAACAGACCGCTGGCCGGTCCTAAGTACAGGCGGTGGCCTGTTCGGTCTGGCTGCTGAGGAAGCCATGTCGTGATCTGAACCGTCAAACTGATTTGCGGTTCAGATCGGACCCGCGGGGAAGTGGCAGACTCAAACTTCGGCCGCCAGGCTCAAACGAAACACGTTTGAGCCGGTTTCCCGCTCAGGGCCTGCAGTGGCAGACCCGGGTCTAAAACTGGTTGCTGGAGGCCTACCACCGGCCTTTCCAAAGGTCCGTCCTTTAACCCAGGCCGGACTGGCCCAGCATGGCCACGGTCTGGGATAACCCCCTAGACCTAGCTGTCGGGCCTAACAGGGCCCGTGCGGAATCCAGTATGTGACACACTCCCCCTCTTAAAAGACCGAGCTACCTGCGAGGGCGAAGTTGTCTGTCCAAAACCTGGGTCGGTCGGGAGGGACGAACTTTGTCCTTGGCAAGTCGCCGCCGTTCGTACGCAGAGAAGATGAGTGGTGCAGATGCTTGTAAATCTGCTCGGGAGATCAGCGAGTGTCGTCGACATCACATTGCTTGAATATGACTTGGTACTGAATTGGTTTGTTGCCATGTTTGCGGTGCGTGATGACACGGTCAACTTCCTGATGTCCGTCCATGGAGGGCGGATCATGTGATCGTCTGCCTGGAAACTCGTCAGCCGAAGGTGGTGTGTAAACCGCCAACTTCGACGCATGAAAGACCGGGTGCACGGTGAGGTGCGGTGAGATGTTAATCACAAAGGAAGGGCCCGCAGGGTCGTCGCGGGCTGCAGAATATACCTTCCATGGTCCGAACCATTTGGGGAGGAGTTTGCGAGCGACATCCTGCTCCAGCGCGAATTCCTCAGCGAGGACCCAAACAAGGTCACCCTCACGGAAAGGACATGGGAGACGGCGTTGGTTAGCTTGCTGTTGCATGCGGACCTGAGCCTTTTGCATGTTTGCTCGGGCTTTGATCAACAAGTCCCTGTACTTCCGAATGGAAGCGGGAAAGCAAGCAACGTCGATGTCGGCGGCCCCGGGGAGAAGAAGATCAGCGAAGATACGTCCTTTCCGTCCACCGTGATGCAACTCATATGGAGTCACACAGATCGTCGGGTGCACCAAAGTGTTGTAGGCGAACTCGATATCCGGGAGGCGGTCAACCCAATCTTTCTGGTCCGGACGGATGAGAGTACGGAGCATCATCTGGGCGGTTTGATGCACCCGCTCTGTCTCTCCATCCGTCAGTGGGTGCCGAGCGGAACTCGGCTTCATTGTCGCGCCGGACACTCAACCATGAGGGATGTCCAAAATGTTGACATGAAGCGAGTATCGTGGTTGCTCATGATGTCTTCCGGAACACCATGGCTGCAAATCTAGCCGGTGTGCAAAAGTCGTGCGAGCTCGGGCGCTGCAGCATGATACTTGCGAGGAAGAAATCTGGTGTACTTGCTCGAACGGTCAACGACCGTGAGAATGCCATCATGACCAAAGCGATCGTGGGGAAACGGGCCGGTAACATCCATAGCAATGGATAGGCACGGTTCTTGCGGAATCGGCAGTGGTTTGAGTTCACCATATGGAAGCTGATGCCGTCCTTTGTTGCGTTGGCAAACTGCACATGACTGCACATATTTGTTGACGTCGTGAAGGACATCTTCCCAGTGAAAACGTTGGCGAAGAGGTGCCAAAGTACGGGTGACGCCAAGGTGTGCCGAGAATCGTGAGTTGTGGAATTCACCAAGAAGGCGAGTACGCAAGATGCGATCGCGTGGCACACATAACAAGTCCTTACCTCGCTTGCGGAGAAGCAAATACCCGTCGAAGATGCGATATTGCCCTGCCGGCGGGTGATCTGATGAAAGATGTGCATAAAGTGTTGAGTACTTCGGGTCGGACTTGTAACCATTGACGAAGTGCAGCTGCAAATCGTCGTCGAGTTGAAACGTATCGGGCACCAAGGCACACAAATCGTGTCGCCGTGATAGTGCATCCGCTGCTTGATTGGCGGGGCCTGGAATATGGACGGGTTTGAAGTCGAATTGGTCGATGAAATACATCCATCGGCTGATCGTGCTTGTGCCCGTGTCCTGCATTTTGTAGTAGGTCAACGGATTGTTGTCCGTATTCCGTGTAAAACGCCGACGCCCGAGAAGAAAGTGTCGCCATCGTTTGAGAACAGTGATGAAAGCCAGCAACTCTTTCTTCCGAGCATCATCCAGAGAATGGACGAGGGGCACTTTTTGGGAGAAGTACTCGACCGGGTGCCAATCATCGCCGTCATGTTGTTCCAATACCGCACCAATGCCGTATCCGAAAGCGTTCGTAGTCATTCGAGTACGTAAGGTGGGATCATAAATGCGGAGGGCGGGAGCGCGTAGCGCGTAACATCGCATGCTTCAATGCCTGAAATGCAGTCCGGGTTGCGTCGCCGAACTTGAAGGGCACCTTTGGAGACTGAAGCCTCGACAATGGAGCAGCCACTTTGGAGTAAGAGTCTCAACAAAACGCTGGTAATATCCAGCCAGACCCATGAACGAGCTTACGTCTAAAGTGGTACGGGGTTCCGGCCAGTCCACGATGGCTTGGATCTTGTCCGCTAAGGGATAAATGCCTTGCGGTGGCCGATGTACTCAAGTTCTTGCTGTGCGAATTTGCACTTGTCGCGATTTGCTTTGTACTTGGCCTTGCGGCGAAGGTGTTCGAGATGCTCGTCGAACATCCGATTATAAACTGAGATGTCATCGAGGTAAATGAGTACGGTGCTGTCAAGTAGGTCTCGAAACTCGGTTGTCATAGCTGCTTGGAAAGTCGTCGGGGCATTGGTGAGGCCGAATGGCATTACGACCCACTCAAAATGCCCATACCGCGTTTTGAAGGTGGTCTTGTACCGATCTTGGGGCTGAATTTCAATCTAGTGGTAACCAGACTTCAACTTTGAGAAGTACGTGGCACTGCCCAATCTCTCAAGGAGAACATCAATCCGAGGGAGAGGGCCGGCGTTCTTGACGGTTTGTGCGTTGAGTTTTCAATAATCTATGCACAATTGGAGGTCCTTGTTCTTCTTCCAGATAAAAAGAACCGGGGCACCGTAGGGCGAACAACTCAGGTGAATCCAGCCCTTGTCTAAGAGGTCATCGAGTTGTTCGCGAAGCACCTCGAGTTCCTCCTCGTTCATCCAGTAAATACATCCGTGCAGAGGGACGACACTGTCCTCGAGAGTAATCCCGTGGCGTATTGGCTGATCCAGGACCATTCTGGCGGGAGCTGCAAAGATGTCTCCATAATCGTCTAAGAGCTGAAGAATATGTGGGTCCGGCAACAATGTCTTCGGTCCGTCCGTCGAAGGGATTGCATGCAAGAAGCATATTCCCATCTCATCGACGTCGTTCCGAGTAATGGCATCGCAAATTCTCGCTGCGGAGACCACGTGGCAACCAATCGAAGTGTGAGGGGGTGGGACCGTACACGGGACTAGCTCACTGTTCCGATCACGAACGTGAACGGTGCGGTTGTGGAAGTTCACCGGGTGGTCGGCGCTATGCAACCAAGACATGCCTAAAATCTTGTCGAACTTGGTGTCGAGGATGTCGAAAGGCTCGCACGCAAGTGGCGCAAAGTAAACCGGGACGTCGTCAACGCATTGGTCAATCGACTTTTGCGTGTGTTCGTCCACGAGTGTTACATGCGTTGGCTGCGTTTTCCTTCGAACGCGGGGGCCGAGGCCAGCGTGGGCCATAAAAGCTTGGCTCATATAGTTGCAAGACGCTCTGCATCAATCAAGGCACTGCAGGTTGCCTTTCTGATTTGAATGCAGATATAGAGGAGGGGTGCGTCGGTTTCGACGTACCTTTGGGAGACGTGCTCGTGGTCGATCTTCGCAAGACAGGTGAGAATATCGACAACCGCTACTCCGTCATCCGTCAATGGAGCTGGTACTGCAGCGTGCAAGTAAGCGCGTAGGTTGGCCATTAAGGCATTGCAATGCAGCTTGGGCAAGGATCCGGTCGAGGGAAGTGGCCACCATTGGAAGTCCTCGATCGTTAGCGAGTCGAGATCCTTAAGTCTCGACCATGCCGACGAGTCCTCGAAGTATGTAAGCGAAAGGACCGGCTCACTTGTTGACGGTGCGCAAGCTGTGCATACGCTGTCTTCATTCACGTGACTAGGCTGGTTCAACGGTGGGACCAGCTGGACTGCAAAATCCTCATAAGTAACACGAGAATCATCGACTACCACATGTTCCCCGGAGATGAAATCGGTTGCTATCAAGGCAACCGTTTCCGGCGGAGTGGGGAGAGCCGTCGCTGCACTCCTTGCGGTGCTCAGTTTCCCGAGCTGTTTGAACGAGGCACACTAGCTTTGCCCTTGTCCGTGCATTGGGCGGTCGCGTGTTTGATGCTGTTGCACCAAAGACAGTAGTTGTACTTCAGGCGGAGGTGATAGACCTCCTCGCTAATGTGATACTGCGTCCACGGTTGCTGTCCAGCTCCTTCCGACGCTTGGGTATTCGCCTTCTTCTTCCGAGCTCGTGTGCGTCGAGGAGGGATTGCTGCCACAACATCTCCTTCACCGGAGGCTGCTCCAGCGGCGTGGTCTTCTAGTGATCCGGTTAGGATCACATTGGCATTGTGCCGTTGAGATCCTGGCTTTGCCACACAGGCCGGCTGCTGCTGCTGGCGACTTTCATTGGCCGCTGGCCGGTCCGTTTGTATGAGAATGTTCGCGCTTGATATGACTGCATCGAAGGTCTCGTACTGCAGCTCGTTGCCGAGAACCGTGGTCAACCCGTGGCATGACCGAGAGAAGAACTCAGATCTCAAATTTTCGAGATCGAGGTTGAATGTCGGAGTGGCAGCAAACTTCTGCCACTTCGTAAACCATTCTCGGGTAGGCATAGTGCCTTAGCTGCAATGGTAGAGCTCGTTCATGACCGTCTTCTTCACGTTTCGGACCATGAACTGCGTCTGCCACAGCTCCTCAAACTCTTCCCATGTAATCTTGGTGTGCAGTGTTGCGATCGTACATGCCTTTTGCAACGCCAAATTGTTCATGAGGGCCTGGCTGCCGCCAATCAGCTGGAGGTACAGCGCGTTGAGGCGCTGATCGTCGGGAACGTGATGCACGTCCGCCTCCGTATTGAATGCGGTCCACCAAGCCAATGCGTCGGTCTTGTGATAGTTGTCAAATTTGGCTACGTTGAACTTGGGCATCTTGTACGCCTTACCGCTGTCCGGTCTTGACTTCAGCTTACCCAGCTCGGTTTTGAGTGCCGTCACTTGGCTGCCGAGCGTCATTGGGGTCTCAAACTGGCCCACCTCGCCAATCAGGCTGATGATGTGATCAATACACTGAGTGGTGGTGGTGGCTGTACTTTCGATCGCTGTTACACGCGGGCCCCATTGCTGGCCAGCTGCTGATGAACCGATTGGTGCCGCTGCTGGTGCACGGGCTTGCGCTTCAACCGTACTCAGGCGTACAGTAAGTGAGTCGTTGACTTGCTTTTGCTGGGTCTTGGCATAATTGATCGCCGTTGCGAGTGTCTGGCAGTCATTTGCGGCAGCTTTTAGGATCTGCTGCTGCTGGTATGCTGCCTGAGTGTGCGGCCGCAACTGCTCCTGCTGCCAGTTCACGGTGTGTAACAAGTGTCTGAGTAGGTAAGCCAATTCTGTTTTCTCCTGCTCCGCCGCTGTTGGCGCTGGTAGTGCGGCTGATGGCACAAAAGTCCACGTCGTGAGGAGTTCGCTGAAACACTGCTCCTCATTCTGCAGGACCTGTGTGCTTGCAGCACGCTGTTGCTGTTGCGCTGCTTCGGCGGCCGCCTCATTGGCCAGCCTCTGTTGCTCAGCTGCGGCCTCTTCGGCCAGTCTTTGATGTTCAGCGGCTGCAGCGGCAATCCGCTCCTGTTCAGCAGCAGCCAGGTCCATGAAGGCCTGAACACGCTGCAAGAATACGTAGGATGCCTCATCGGCGCCTTGGACCGGAAACGCTTGCAAGACCATCGTTCGCCGCCTCCTTGGTACTGTCGGTGTCGGGTTGCCTGCTGCCGCCTGTTGCTGTCTGCTGAGAAGAGCTGCTATCCGAGGACTGCGTCGAGGAAGTACCACCAGTCGCTGACCTGCTGACATGAGTTGCTGCAGGGACACTGCATTGACTGCTATCGGCAGTGTCCTTTAGGCCATCAGTGGGAGAGGAGTAGCAGGGGTGGGAACAGGGGATAGGGAACAGACAAGCATGCAGCTCCAAATCCCAATGTAGGCTGACACTCCAATCAATAGGAAAAACTTTCCCCCGGACAATATTTTTCAAAAAATTATAAATTTATTAATTTCATTAATATAAATAATGCAATAAATGAATATGTCGGGAATTAGGTGTCAATCCGAGGTCAGACAATGGTCCGAAAGTTCCCTGCCTGCGACCATTCATCAAAATGCCAATTTGGACTTTGAGTGCAGGTGAAACTTCCCGTAAGTTGCGATTCTGCAACTGTCCGGACTTTCCAGCATCCAGGAATTCACGAAGGTAAGCAGCTAAAGACAGTGCCAACTGAAGAAGAAAGAAAAAAAATCGCGAAATTTTCAGGATTTTCCGAACTAAAATTTCGACCCTGGGGAGTGGGCGTGGAAACCAGACAAAGAGACAAACGTTAAGAGGCTCACCCCTGTACAAGATTACACGGTCAAATTAGGATACAAACTCCTGATTAAGACAAACGATCCAGAACCAACGATCAAGGCAAGATGGCAGAAGCTGTTAGGACAGGAAGCGGCTAAAATCACGAAAATCCCATGGAAAACATACAAAATGATTAGACCAGTCAAAATCAGAAGCCTCCAATGGCTGATAATTTATGCAGCGCTGCCAGTCAATCAATGGCTCCATATTAGAAGAAAAGATTCCGCGCTGGACAGTTCGGATCAATGTAAGATGTGCACAGAAAATGCAGTAGAGGACATAGTACACTGCCTAATATACTGTAGGGAGGCGACGGACTACTGGGCAAGAGCATTGACCCTGTGGGACTCTCTCTTCACTACCCCGTTCCCTGAACACCCTATCCAACTTCTCCTCCTCATTAACATCCCTGAACTAACAAGGAAAATGGAAAAGATTTGGTATGGACTCATCAGGAAAGCGACCCTATGGATCATATGGAAGGAAAGGTGCAGCAGAACGATCGAAGGAGTCGCCAACGCACGAGAGATGATCTGGACGGAGACGAAGGTAATGATCCAGGCAGAGATTTTGTGCAGATGGCGGAAGACCAAGTTATCTTGGTCAGAGGAGGAAGAACAGCAAAASAAGGCAAGAAGGAACTTCAGCAAGATCTGGTTGATAAATGGGAAAGTTGCTGAGCTGCAAGACGACCGCATCTGTTGGAAGGAATGRCACAACTCCAGTTYGGGAAGAAGTATTGGACAGCAGAACTCAGYGAACGGACAAAGCACCCCYGAACCAGAACTTTAATAGAAAAACATMGGCCTTTGATCACTGTAATTGGGGGATGTTAGTAGGGGCCAGGAAAGTACGCAGAGGAAGGAGGGAAGCAGGGGAGTTGAACCCTTTTAAGTTTTACTCTCGGTCAAGAAATGGGTCTGAGGGTTTAGTTTTTTAGCAAACCTCAAAAGGAAAGGCGAGARTTAATGGCTAAGGGGACGTAAAGGATGTGCCGGCAGAATTGAGGAAATGAGGGAGCAGGCGTACAGAATCAAGGAGAACCCATGGGAAGAAAGGAGGTTAGGGCTGGGATGGGAATGAGAGGGCGGCATCTCAGAAACAGGTTGGCTAAGRGGRTTCTCCCACATTGATCCAAAAAGGGGCAACATCCTTCTAGAAAGARTAGAATTATTTGACAGATCCGAGCTCCAGATCTGAGAGGAAGAGTGTTGCATGGCAAGCTGACGGTCAATCCTCCGCTAAAGTGAAGTAATCAATGCTGCTCAGGGGTCCTTCGGCCAGACGGAAGGAAGCGTGCGTTGTTTCTCAATGTATTGTATGTTTTGACTTGCCGGGGGAATAGGAACTGGACTGATGCTCCCCAGAATAGAAGGAGGTAGGACCATAAGGCCCTATTTAAAAAAAAAAAAAAAAAAAAAAAAAAAAAACACAATCCGCGAATTTTGCGAAATTCCTGATGTCAACCCTAAAATAACGTGAATTTCCAGATTGCAGCAACTCTTTCTTTAGCGCATTACCGAATTACAGACACAGAAGAAAAGAAAAAATTTTGCAACTTGGAAATTGATGACAACTGTAGATCTGATAACAGAAACAATCCTCATCAACTTAATCAATCAACTTGCATTAACCGATTTATCAATTATGCTTCTCACTAATCAGAACTATATCAATCAATCAATCAATCAATCAATCAATCAATCAATCAATCAATCAATCAATCAATCAATCAGTAATCAATCAGTAATCAATCAATCAATCAATCAATCAATCAATCAATCAATTAATCTGTGAGCAGCTCCAATCTTGGTCTGCTCCGATACCAAACTGTTGCATACTAGTGAAAGTGAATACAAGTATGACGCAGAACCCAGAACCGACCAATCACAAAGAGCAATACAATGCAGCGGAAGACTGATAAACATGGATCTGAACTCACATCTGACCCGGACTATACACAGGCTCGCACACATACATTCATCAGGTGAGGAGGCCTGGCGCTCCAGACATGGAAGATGGCGCCAGATCCTGTACACAACACACACGGACGAATGTAGGGGGGAAGAGACGAAGGAAGGAGGAGGAGATGGCGCGAACACAAAGTCACCAAAGTAGTAATCCCGAAATGTCGGATATACAGAATCTCGAAATGTCAAAGTTACAGAATCTCGAAAGGTCGAAGTTACAGAATCCGAATTGCTGCTGGTGTCAGATCTCCAAATAGTCCTCCCAACGTCCTACTCTGGAATAGTTTCAGTCCTGATGTCACCGATATCCCACCATCGATCTCTGTCCCATAGTAACCGAGAAAATAGAAGGTTAGGAAAAGATGAAGATGGAGAAGAAGAAGAAGAAGAACCGAGAGGGCAGAGGAGAAGGTGGAGATGGAGAGGTAAGGAGGACGAAGATCCTCCTGCCCGGATCCAGTGCTGAGGCACCAACCTGCAGATGCAAGGTGCCGCCTTGGAGCTGCTGAAGACTTGCCCTCGCCGCTGGAGCTATGGCGCTCACAGGTAGGTAGCAGGTAAGTCTCTACTCTCTCTCTCTCTCTCTCTCTCTCTCTCTCTCTCTCTCTCT